GGACTCTGAGGCAGAGAGTTCCACTGCAGAACGGTTGTCATGGTCAGAAAGGTCTTCCTAATGTGCAGAACAATATGTACTTACTCTGTTTTTGGGTCCTGGAAAAATGTAATTAAGGCTCCTGTGATGGGGAGGCGACCATTGCTAAGAGGTCTTCCCTAATGTGTGTGCACCTTCTAGTTTTTCGTCGACTTTTAGCAACTCTATGGATTTCATAGGGTTTTCTTAGGCAAGAAATACTCAGAGGTATAGTTCCTCCCAGTCCTTTTGAAATGTGCTGTTGTCATTGTAGTTCTTGTATGCATTCCTGTTGTTTCTGAGTTGTGGTGACCCTACTACCAAGGAGTTGTCTTAGAAATATGTGTTCAGAGGGGGGTTGCCCTAAGCTTCCTCTGAGGCTGAGAGAGTGTGGTTTCCCCAAAGTCACTGGGCAAGTGGGATTCCAATTGTGTTCTTCACAGTTGTAATCCAACATTCAGACAACTACAACATGTTGGCTCTCCCTGTACAGTACACCTTTATAAAGGGGGAAAATATTAAATTATGCATTATACAAATTTTCCTAGCACAACAACACACGTGTTCTCTTGAATATGAAGTAGGGCAGCAGACAGCTGTGGAGGGAAAAACGCCATTACGTTTTCCTTCAGCCTCCAAATGTTTAACATTGCAGAAACACTGAAAATCATTTACCCCCCCCCCCCCCCAAACTCTTCTATTTGCTGAGTTTGCCTTTTCTTGGTAACTTTCCCTGTATTTTGGTTTGGATTGCCTAGATTGTATTTCTCAAAGCTCAACTGACATTTTCAGTGGTGGAAATTCTGGGAGGGAGGAACATTTAAATGGGGAGAATTCCTCATGAATTTGAGTCCCATCAAAGGCAAAGGCAAGATATACATTACATATCAGGGGCAATAACAACAACAACAACAACAATAACCCACCTCTCTTGATGGCTAGAAGTGGCATACAACAAAGTAAAAAACATATGAACATAAAATATATACAGTAAATTACATAGATAAAAGCACAAAGTATAAAAATACTTGCACCAAACACAGATACAGAATTGACAAGATAGGAGCAATAGAATGTAAATCAAAATTCATGACTGAAAGTTTACTGGGCCTGCCTTTGCTAGAAGAGATGGGTCTTCAGTCTTTAATTCTGACAGCTCCTTTAGCTGTGGGATCTCATCCTTTGGCAGGTCCTTCTACTGTCTCCTTCTTGGGGCAGTTGGTGAAAAGGTCCTCAAGTTCTAGCTGGCTGAAGTACATGTCACCCAGAAGACCTCAGTGTCCTAAGGGGTCATGGATTGTGCAGAAGAAGGCCATCCTGTTGGGAACCTTGGCCCAAACCATATAGGGCTTTAAAGGTTAAAACCAGCACTTTGTACTTTGCCTGGAAACTCTTTGGCAGCCAATGGAGTGACTTTAGTATGGGTGTAATATGCTCACTCTGGATGTCCCTGTCACCAATATGGCTGCCATATTTTGAATTAATTGGAGTTTCTGATCCTCGTACAGAGGTAGCCCAATGTAAAGCACATTTCAGAAGTCCAACCTTGAGGTTACCAGTGTGTCCCACCATGTCTAAGTTCCCCAAATCTAGGAAAGGGCACAGCTGTCGTATCAACCAAAGCTGGTAGTAAGCAGTCTGGACCATGGCATCTACCTGAGCTGATATTTGGAGAGACTGATTCAGGAGCCCTTGTCCCAAGCTGCGGACACTGTCTTTCTGGGGGAGGGAGACCCCACCCAGAACTAGTTGACACATCCCCAGATTAGGACCCTTGATCATAAGCCCCTCTGTCTTGTTTTTCCTCATCCAGACATTCATTCAGAGGAGACAGGTTATCCTTAGCTGAGGCTGTTTTGGAAGGCATAAGTGTCATCAGCATGTTGATAGTACCCCTCCCAATGCCTCCAGATGATCTCTCCCAGCGGTTTCATGTAAATGTTAAATACCATTGGGGATAGTATGGCCCCTTGTGGGATGCCATAGAACAGCTCCTTCTTGGAGGAGCAGTGATACCCAAGCGCTACCATCTGGTTCTGGTCATTCCTGAGAGGTATGACCAGAACCACTGCAGCACAGTGCCTCCAAGTCCCAGCCCCCCCCCCCCCCCCCCCCCGCGCGTTTTGTTGTCTGTTGGAGGCAAGTGGGGATGTTGCAATTGGCCACCTTAATTCGCATTGAATGACCTTGACGCTCCCCCCCCCCCAGTGGCACAGTGGGTAAACCGCTGAGCTGCTGAACTTGCTGACCAAAAGGTCACTGGTTTGAATCTCCCTGTCCTCTAAAAGAAGAGATGTCCCACCAGTTCCCAGTGGGATGTGAGAGGCACCCCAGGACACAATTCAGGTGATAAGACTGAGCATCTTACTTGAAAATTTCTTAGTGGAGGGAAAATATATACGGGTGTATAGATTTGTTGTCAAAGGCTTTTATGGCCAGAATCACTGGGTTGCTGTGAGTTTTCCAGGATGTCTGGCCATGTTCCAGAAGCATTCTCTCCTGATGATTCACCCACATCTATGGCAGGCATCCCCAGAGATTGTGAGGTCTGTTGGAAACTAGGCAAGTGGGATTTATATCTATACCTGTGGAATAATGTCCAGGATGGGAGAAAGAACTCTTGTCTGTTGGAGGCAAGTGGGAATGTTGCAAATAGCCACCTTGGTTAGCATTGAATAGCCTAGCAGCTTCAAAGCCTGGCTCCTTCCTGCCTGAGGGGATCCTTTTTTGGGATGTGTTATTTATTTATTTATCATATCAGAAGCAAACAAAGGGTACAGTTGAAAATGTATTTAAAAAACACAAAGTTTGAAAACTGGGCATTCTATTAAATGTCCTTTGACCAGAAGCTGGCCACTTGGAGTGCCTCCAGTGTTGCTATGAGGAGGTCCTCCATTGTGCATGTGGCAGGACTCAGACTGCATTGTAGTAGGCGGTCTGTGGTTTGCTCTTCTCTGTACTCGCATGCTGTGGACTCCACTTTGTGGCCCCATTTCTTAAGGTTGGCTCTGCATCTCGTGGTGCCAGAGCGCAGTCTGTTCAGTGCCTTCCAAGTCACCCACTCTTCTGTGTGCCCAGGAGGGAGTTTCCCATTCAGTATCTGACATGACAGTGTATTTTAATATTGACACAAATGTTTATGTATGCATATAATGAATTGTCCTGGCATTGAAAGTTGGCCATATACATGCTGTGCTCTGCCCTGAGTCCCCTGCAGGGGGAGAAGGGCGGAATATAAAATGTTTTAAATCTATCTATTTATCTATCTATATAATAAAATTCAGTATTTGTATGTATGTATGTTTGTATGTAAATTTGTGGATATGTGGCAGCTTTCTGATTGGCTGCCACTTCCACAGGCCACTACGACCCCCACGAATGACAGACCTGGACCAAACTTGACATACATAACCCCCATAACCCACTTTACGTCCTGATGCGGTTTGAGGGAGGATGGACCACAGATGATGGGATTTGCAGTACTTTCAATCGCTTCGGCTCCCACAGACCACTGCGGCCCCCAACAATGACAGATCAGGACCAAACTTGGCACACAGACCCCCCATGGCCCACTTTACGTCCAGTTGCGGTTTGGGGGAGGCTGGACCATGGGTGATGGGACTTGCAGTATCTTCAGTCACTTCTTGAGACAATTGTAACCCACACCAATGACTGATCAAGACCAAATTTGGCACACAGAGTCCCCATGACCCACTCTACATCCTGGTGTGATTTGTGGGATAATAGACCATGGACGATGGGACTTGCAGTACCTTCACTCACTTCCTGACACCACTGTGATCCACACCAATGACTGATCAAGACCAAATTTGGCAGACAGAGCGCCCATTACCCACTCTACATCCTGGTGTGATTTGGAGGAGGATGGGCCATGGACGATGTATAAATATGTGAGAGGAAGTCATAGGGAGGAGGGAGCAAGCTTGTTTTCTGCTGCCCCGGAGACTAGGACATGGCACAATGGCTTCAAACTACAAGAAAGGAGATTCCATCTGAACATTAGCCTGACTGTGAGAGCTGTTCAGCAGTGGAACTCTCTGCCCCGGAATGTGGTGGAGGCTCCATCTTTGGAAGCAGGCATGTAGCCGGGGGGGGGGGGGGCTTGAGGGGCTTCAGCCCCCCCCCCCAAAATTCTCATGGTGGTTCGCGAAAAGGCCTTACTGGTGCATTATTTAAACTGTTATGTTTATTCATATCATGATCTGATCACCATACTCAATATATCCCATATGCATGATGGAGGTATTGGGGTAATGATACAAAAGGTTTGCTAGGCTAGACCCTCTTTCACTCAGACTCAGCCCCCCCGAAACTCAGCCCCCCCCGAACCCCCCTGAAAAAAATAGCCCCCCCCCCAACGATGTGGTGGAGGCTCCTTCTTTGTATGCTTTTAAGCAGAAGTTGGATGGCCATCTGTCAGGGGTGCTTTGAATGCAATTTTCCTGCTTCTTGGCAGGGGGCTGGACCGGATGGCCCACGAGGTCTCTTCTAACTCTATGATGGGAGTTGCATATGGGATTTGTAGTTCACCCGTACTCACTGAACCCAGTGGATCTAGACTAAACCTGGACCACAGGCAAACAGTGCCTTTCTCAAAAAAAAAAAAAAAATTAAAACCCCCAGCCACCACCGGGTCCCTAAGCCAGTAATAAATAAATAATGACTTGAGGTTCCGGGTTTAGCTTGCTTGGGAGGTGTTAGCTGGCCCTGATTGTTTCCTGCCTGGAATTCTCCTGTTGTTTTTTATTGACTGTCCTGTTTTTTAGGGTATGCTGATGCTTTTATGTGAAGAGATAAACAGATATAATAATACGAAGAATATTTTCTTTCCATGAAGTTCAATGCAAAGGCGCGGCTGGTTTACCAAAGGCGAGGAAGAGGAGGAGGAGGAGGAGGAGGAGGAGGCGGCGGCGGCGGCGTCTGGCTTGGGCCGGAGTGGCGCTCGGCAGCAGCACCCGCCACGGCCGGCAGGGGGCGACGGAGGGGCGGGAGCAGCTCTCGGGCGCCTCCTCCCTCTCTGCCTGCCTTTCTGCTTGCCATTGCCTCCGGACCCCCTCCTCGGGGACTCTTTCTCTCGGTCCGGACAGCTGCAGGAGCGACCATGCCGAGCGCAGCGGGTCCGGCGTTGGTGGGCTTCCTCCTGGCCCTTTTCGTGACCGGACAGGGCGGCGGAGCAGGTAGGGGGCGGGCCTGGGAGGGAGGGAAGGAAGGAAGGAAGAAGGGTGGGAAGGGAGGAAGGAAAGAGCGCGCCTGGCTTTCTCCTCCTCCGTCGCCGCCGCCGCCGCCGCTTCCCAAGTTTCCATGCTTCCAACTCCTGTTGCCTCCCTGCCTTCCCCGCTGCAGAATATGCCTGGGGAAAAGGTCCCAAGAGCAACAGAGAAGTGGCCGGCATGGGACTTCTCTGGGCTGGGAGGCACAGGAAAAGCCCCAAACTTGGGAGAACTCCACCTCCCAGAATCCCCTCTCCAATCAAGGTCCCATCTCCACTGCCCTCGAAGCCAGTTTCTGGTTCCGAAGGGTCTTCTTAGAACTGGAGTATGCTCCCTCACACAATGCCAAAAATGTTCTGTTCCTGGTTTGGAAATGTAAAAGGACAGCACAATTGTTTCATTGTGCTGTCCTAACTTGGAAAGGAGTTGTCCCATTCCAGAAACTCCATTTTTGTGGCTGCCACAAACTAGGTGGAATTGGTTGAGACTCGATGAGATTGTCCTTGGAAAACTATTTGATACACCTTTTCTATTTTTTTAATGAGGGAACCAATTAGGAAATGTCATTTCTAATCCAGGAACAACCATTGTGTTCCATAGTTACATGAATCATAGAATCATAGAGTCGGGAGAGACCTCATGGGCCATCCAGTCCAACCATCTGCCAAGAAGCAGGAAAATTGCATCCAAAGCAGCCCCAACAGATAGCCATCCAGCCTCTGTTTAAAAGCTTTCAAAGATACAGAATGGAGGACGCATGGCTCGAGAGCAGTACACGTGAAAAAGATCTTGGGGTCCTCGTAGACAACAAGTTAAACATGAGCCAACAATGTGATGCAGCAGCAAAAAAAGCCAATGGGATTTTGACCTGTATCAAGAGGAGCAAAGTGTCTAGATCTAGGGAAGTCATGCTGCCCCTCTATTCCGCCTTGGTTAGACCACATCTGGAATACTGTGTCCAATTCGGGGCACCACAATTGAAGAGAGAGATTGAGAAGCTGGAATGTGTCCAGAGGAGGGTAACTAAAATGATCAAGGGTCTGGAGAACAAGCCCTATGAGGAGCGGCTTAAAGAGCTGGGCATGTTTAGCCTGAAGAAGAGAAGGCTGAGAGGAGACATGATAGCCATGTATAAATATATGAGAGGAAGTTATAGGGAGGAGGGAGCAAGCTTGTTTTCTGCTGCCCTGGAGACTAGGATGTGGAACAATGGCTTCAAACTACAAGGAAGGAGATTCCAGCTGAACATTGGGAAGAACTTCCTGACTGTGAGAGCTGATCAGCAGTGGAACTCTCTGCCCCAGGGTGTGGTGGAGGCTCCTTTGGAGGCTTTTAAGCAGAGGCTGGATGGCCATCTGTCAAGGGTGATTTGAATGCAATATTCCTGCCTCTTGGAAGGGGGTTGGACTGGATGGCCCATGAGGTCTCTTCCAACTCTTTGATTCTATGATTCTATGATTCTGTGATTCTATCTATGGGATGAAAAGGACAGGGTGAATAAAGAATTCAATAGACATATAATAAGAGCCAGCCTTTTAGCAACTCTATGATTCTATGATTTAAAAAAGGAGCCTCTACCACACTAAAAAAGGCAATGGGATTTTGGCCTGCATCAATAGAGTCTAGTAACTAGATCCAGGGAAGTCATGCTCCCTCTCTTTTCTGCCTTGGTCAGACCACTTTACAAGTTTGGTCCAGATCCACTTTACCAGGAATCACACTGTGTCCCATTCTGGGCACCGCAGTTGAAGGGAGAGGTTGACTCTAAGCTGGAATGTGTTCAGAAGAGGGCGACTCAAATGATCAAGGGTCTGGAGAACAAGCCCTATGAGGAGTGGCTGAAAGAGCTGAGCATGTTTAGCCTGCAGAAGATAAGGCTGAGAGGAAACATGATGATGGCCATGTTGGGGAAGCCATAGGAAGGAGAGAGCAAGCTTGTTTTCTGCTGCCCTGGAGACTAGGATGCAGAACAATGGTATCAAACTACAGGAAAGAAAGGAGATTCCACCTGAACATGAGGAAGAACTTAATGACTGTGAGAGCTGTCCAACAGTGGAACTCTCTGCCCCACAGTGTAGTGGAGGCTCCTTCTTTGGAGGCTTTGAAACAGAGTCTGGAAGGCCATCTGTTGGGGGTGCTTTGCATGCGATTGTTCTGCTTCTTGGCAGAATGGGCTTGGACTAGATGACCCACAAGGTCTCTTCCAACTCTAGGATTTCATGAGTCTGTGAACAGCTCCAGAACATTTTCTTTACCCATTTCCCTGGCCCCCTATGTCTTGCTTTTTTACTAGCCTCGACCCAGCCCTCCTAAATAGCCTCGCCCATTCCTAAATTGTGGCCCTAACAGGTTATTTTGCATGGAAGAATATTGGGGGATTGGGCTTTCAATCAATGTATATGCGAGTTCGTAATTTTATGCCATTGCTTTGTCTTACTCTGTAAGGTTTTTTGTGTACTTTACCTACATGGAAACCACCCTGAGTCTGCTAGGGGAGATAGAGTGGTATATAAATAAAGTTTTATTATTATTTACTAGCCGTCCCCTGCCACGCATTGCTGTGGCCCAGTGTGCTGATCTGGAAAATAAAGTAATGAGAAATTGTTGGTTTCTTATATATGTAATTTCTTTCTGCTTGTGGGTAAACAGTATTTCTTGCTGGGTTTTTTTGTCAGTGTTGATGTGGAGATTGTCTGGTTTGCCTACTCTGGAACATGCAACATGCAAATTGTCCTTCTTTAGGGGTCCCTTTCAAATCTATGAGACTATATCTCTCTGTGTGTGAATCATATATATCTATCTATATCTATGACTGGATGTCTCTTTGTCAGGAGGACTTTGATTACGTTTTCTTGCCTTGGTGAAGGGAGTTGGACTGATGGCCTTAAGTATTTTCTGTTGGTCATGGGGGTTCTGTGGGGGAATTTTGCCTCAAATCTGTCGTTGGTGGGGTTCAGATTGCTCTTTGATTGTAGGTGAACTATAAATCCCAGTAACTACAGCTCTCAAATGTCATGAGTCTATTTCCCCCAAACTCCACTGGTATTCACATTTGGGCATAATGAGTATTTGTGCCAAGTTTGGTCCAGATCCATTACTGTTTGAGTCCACAGTGCTCTCTGGATGTAGTTGAACTACAACTCCCAAACTCAAAGTCAGTGCTCACCAGACAATTCCTGTATTTTCTGTTGGTCATGGGAGTTCTGTGTGCTGCGTTGAGTTCCATTCCATCATTGGTGGAGTTCAGAATGCTCTTTGATTGTAAGTTAAATATAAATCCCAACAACTACAACTCCCAAATGACAAAATCATTTTTTTAGTGATGGTCACTCATTGGCCTAGTAGATGTATTGTGTCCAAATTTGGTGTCAATTCATCCAGTGGTTTTTGAGTTCTGTTAATCCCACAAACGAACATTACATTTTTATTTATATAGATTACAAGCCCATATTACAAAGCAACCCATGATAACTGGTCACATGGACCTGCAAGTAACATTTCTACTGAAGTCAAAGAGCTTTCATCAGATGGGGAGCAACAAAAACAAAGAAAGAAAACTTTAGAACTGTAGCACTCCAAACATCATTTCCTAAGCAAAGAAATGAAGAAAAAGGAGTGGAACCTTGTTTTCCCATTGTATTTTTAATGAACTAGCCGTCCCCGGACACACTTTGCTGTGTCCCACTCTGGTGGTCATGGGGGTTCTGTGTGGGAGGTTTGGCCCAATTCTATAATTGGTGGGGTTCAGAGTGCTCTGTGATTGTAGGTGAACTATAAATCTCAGCAAGTACAACTCCCAAATGTCAAGATTCTATTTTCCCCAAACTCCACCAGTGTTCACATTTGGCATATTGAGTATTTGTGTAGAGTTTGGTCCAGATCCATCATTGTTTGAGTCCACAGTGATCTCTGGATATAGGTGAACTACAACTCCAAAACCAAAGGACACTGCCCACCAAACCCTTCCAGTATTTTCTGTTGGTCATGGGAGAACTGTGTGCCAAGTTTGGTTCAATTCCATCGTTGGTGGGGTTCAGAATGCTCTTTGATTGTAGGTAAACTATAAATCCCAGAAACTACAACTCCCAAATGACAAAATCAAATTTTTGAGTGATGGTCACTTGTTGGCCTGATAGGTGTCTTGTGTTCAAATTTGATGTCAATTTGTCCAGTGGTTTTTGAGTTCTGTTAATCCCACAAACGAACATTACATTTTTATTTATATAGACTAGCCATCCCCTGCCACGCGTTGCTGTGGCCCTCATGGGGGTTTTGTGTGGGAGGTTTGGCCCAATTCTATAATTGGTGGGGTTCAGAATGCTCTGTGATTGTAGGTGAACTATAAATCCCAGCAACTACAACTCCTAAATGTCAAAGTCTATTTTCCCCAAACTCCACCAGTGTTCACATTTGGGCATATTGAGTATTCATGTAGAGTTTCTTCCAGATCCATCATTGTTTGAGTCCACAGTGATCTCTGGATGTAGATAAACTACAACTCCCAAACCAAAGGACACTGCCCACCAAACCCTTCCAGTATTTTCTATTGGTCATGGGAGAACTGTGAGCCAAGTTTGGCTCAATTCCATCGTTGGTGGGGTTCAGAATGCTCTTTGATTGTAGGTGAACTATAAATCCCAGCAACTACAACTCCCAAATGATAAAATCAATTTTTTGAGTGAAGGACATACATTGGGTTGTTAGGAGTCTTGTGTCCAAATGTGGTGTCAATTCCCCCAGTGGTTTTTGAGTTCTGTTAATCTCACAAACGAACATCACATTTTTATTTATATAGATTATCATTCTTTCCTCTGAAGGAACTTGGAAAAAAGTCCTTTTTGGGGGGGGGGGGGGCACACTGTCTAGAATTCCTCAGCCAGCATAACCTGGTCACCAAAGATGACATTTCCAAATTCTGTCTGCTAACAAATCTCTGGGTTCAAAGCCTCCACATTTCCTCCACTCTA